ATTTTGTCTTTTATTTCACTTGGGTGATAATTTCTCTTTTCTTTATGTGTTACTCATTTGAAGTGAAATGGGGACAGTTAAGCAGAAAGACTGGACATTGAAGGAAAGCCCCTTATTTTATTTTATTTTATTTTATTTTTTTATTTTATTATTTTTTACCAGTTTTTACACCTGTCAGTTTGAAGGGTTTAGGATTTGATACTACTCTCAAGGCTGTCATATTGTCAGTGAATTTTAGGGTCCAGTTAAGTGGCTGGTTGGTCATCTGTTCTGGGGGTTTCCAGTTTCCCTTCCTGGATTTCTAGTGGTCTGCAAAGTGGAAAACTTATATTCCTTCTACTATTTTTGTTTCAATAAAACAAACTATTATACTTGATAAGCTACCTTCTCACCACCACCACCAAATACAGTGTGGTGACAACCAGGAAAAAAATACAAGGGAAAAGGGTTGGGAACCATTGGTATAATGTAACTTATTTTAAGGTTGTGCAAACAGCCCAAGGGAGGTCAGGAGTCTTTTCCAAGGTCACTGGTTTAATTAGTTGGTAGAGATGTTTGTAAATAGTATCAAGAAAGAATACGGAATTCTCTGTCTCCATGGGTCTTTTGTGTACTGATGAATAACTTTCTCCCAGGATATGACCTGTTCCTTCTAGAACAATTCAGTATTTGGGGAAATGGTATCCATCTTTTTTCTTTGGAACATTTTAGTAAATTCTTTCATGCATATACCAGGTATGCTAGTGGGCAGAAATAGAGAATGCAGAGGCCCCTAAGTAAGGAGCATGTTGTAAATCAGGGAAATAGGGCTGCTCACAACTATGTGAGCAGTGTTACTGATGAGGCAGAAGAGAAAAGTTTTGGTAAACACTCAAGATCATGTGCTTACTTGTAAAATAAAAAGGAGAAGAAAGAAAATTCTTGGAATCATTCAGATCAATAGGCCTGTATTTAGGAAAATGTAAGTTCTTGCTCTTTGTAGATTGGTTCACCCTGGACCCCTGATCCGGTACCTCGGGGGGCAGTTGGTGTTTCTGTTGCTGCGGGAGGTGTCTTTAAGATGCATTTATTCCATAAGTAGAATGTTATATACTCCTCATTTTGATTAAGTCCATTAACAGTTTCCCAAGAAATGAGTCATTAGCCTATTTAATGATGAGTTTATTTGAAAACTAACCAATTTGGAATTTGCCTAAGAACCCATAATAAGTAAGTCATCAGTTGTTGCTAGGTGTTCTGGGGAGTGGATTATTTCACCAGGGCCCTTCTTTTAAGGTTTTGTGGTTGTTTTTTTCCTCCCTGAGAGAAACATTTAACTGAATTTTTTATATGAAGAGAAATGGTTTTTCTGAAGGTGCTACCTTTCTGCTGATGTGCCTATAACTAAGACTTAAGCAAACACAAAAAGTCATAAGCTGTCCGTATTTTTCAGAAATGTAGTTGGGAGTCTGTGGCCTGGTGCTCGTGCGGGTGACTCAGGGTTTTGTTTACATTCGCTGTCAGTCTCTGCAGCATCCGAGGAGAGAGTACTTCCTTCCTAGCAGATGGCAGCCTCCGGGGCCCTGCGCCTGCCTTTATAAGCAATGTGCACGCGTAATCTAGCCAGGATCTCTGTTGACAATAGGCATGGGATTGGAGACTGTCTGCCCCACAGGATAAACAAAATAGGGGAAGGCTTTTTCCTTCTATCAGGGAATAATGGGGTGGTGAAACTAGTTTTTAGGTGAAGAAGAAAGCCAAGTTCAGAATACCCTTCTACTATATCTGTTGATCACTTACTGAGTTATGTAGAAAAGTGGACACGATAGAGATTCTGATGTGCTATATAGGGAATCTTCACAAATAAACCCAGCAGGCTTTCCCCTGGGCGAGGTTTGGATTCCTTCTGTGAAATCTTGCCTTCCTCTGAGGACCTGGGAACTGAGCACTGGGTGCACTGCCCAGTGCTGGTGGTGGAAAGTCACCAAAAATAGGGACTGAAGTAAGTGACCATCTGATGCCTGTGAGTTCCCAGGTCTGTTTAGAGGCCACCCCCAAACCTATCATGTGAGTTCCACCACCCAGCCACTGCCCTGCCAGGGCCCAGATCACACCCAGGAGGGCTTCTCCTCCCCTTGCCTTGTTCCGGGCGCCCAGAGCCCCTTGGTGGCTGGATGAATTGGGGGGAAATTGTGAGGTAGGGGGAGACATTTGGAAATAGGCCAGGATGTCCTTACTGAATTTTAAAATGACGCAAATAATACTTGAAGAACTCTGGACAATAAGCAGGATTAAACAAGGCATGGGTTAGAATGTGATGGGCGGCTTGGTTTTGTTCAAAGATCAGAAATGGGGGTACTAGCACTCTGGTACATTGTGGACACCATGGGGTTCCTGAACTTATAAGACAGCAGACTCCTAGAGAGGAAGGTATTCACGGCCAGTTCGTACACCACGGCCTGGATGCATTTTAAAAAGAATTACTAAAGTGATTTGTGATCATGTTATGCTTCTGTTTTATTCTTATATGTTAGTAGGTGTTTTTTTATTGTTTTTCAACATAAAAGTGACCTAAAAATAACACTTTTCATATGCAAATGAAACAGAACAAATCCCTAAGCTGTATCCATGCTCTTCCAGTTATATATATA